CCAGCCCTCCTGGGGCTGCCTCCATGTGGCCCGAGTCCCCTTACTCCTGGAGGACTCTTAACAGCTCCCTCCCTCTGCCAACTCCACGCCAGCCCACAGAGCCGTTTTCTGAAAACAGAAATCTAATCAGATTGTTCAACTGACTAAACATCCTGGAAGCCTCACTACCTCTGGTGGTGAGCATGTCTCATGTGGCCAACCTGCTTCCTATGGAAGAATCGACCTTAAGGCCAAATGAAGGAGACACCCTGAGGCTGGGGTTGCTGCACTCCAGGGAGGCCCGTCCCCTCCTCGCGACTCCCCAGGGTATCTGTTTCTGAGGCCTCGCGCCCACTGCAGCTGCCCACACCGGCTGGAGGCGGAGGGGCGCCCACAGGGTGGGGTCCTAGCCACACTGCGCTCATTGCTCCGTGCAGTTCTGTGCAAACGTTTAGTTACCTACCGAAGGCCAGACACACGGGCCAAAGAGCAAAACCTTTTCCTAAACAGACAAATCTGGGTTCAAATCCTGGCTCTGCCTCCTACTAAATAAATCCTTGTGAGGAAATCACTTCAGGGCTCAAACGCTGGTCTCCTCACTACTACATGGGAAAGGTAATGTTACCTTGCTTACGTCTAAGCACGGAGACAACCCCCCGCCCCACCATGCACGTTCACCCTTTATCACGGGTTTGCTCAGCTTGCCTGGAACCCCTTCATCTCCCATCCGAGGCAACCAGACGTTTCCCCGAGGTTCATCTGGGACACACAGCTAAACCCGCAACCCGCATTTCCCATTGGCTCCGAAGCCATGCACCACTAACTGAGCTTTGTCTCCCCTGCTGCCCTGCCCCTCCTCTCACAAGTGACTTACCCTGGAAACCAGCCCCAGCTTTACTGCACCTCAGATGAGTTACGCGACCGGCCGTGAGGATGACAGAAGCACGAATTTCCTCATCAAAGCCCAAGAGCACCAGGCCGTCCAAACACACCCGCAGCGGCACCCGGTGTGTTGAGGACGGCCCCCCATCGGGCCTGCGTGGCTTGGCAGGAGGTGCTAGTCGTGGCGAGCCGGACCAGACCCTGGCCGTGGGCTGGCAGCTCTGACCGAAACTACCAGGAAGGCTGGGGATTAAATATTGGTCCGGGTCACCGTCAACCAGTGGAATTATAAACACCTGGCAGCAGTAAGTGGTGCAGGAAGCCGTCTCTGGATACAGATTTAGGATTTTCCAGCGGTGCCCGGGGGACAGGGAGTTAGGGAGGCGGGCTGTGGTAGAGCTCGCTGCCTGGGGGCCCGGCTGCCCTCCCGGGCCAGTGGTTCCTGGAGGACAAGGGCCCGTGTCCATGCAGAACAATGGGTTCTGCCCCAGTGAGCACCAGCCTTGGCTCCGAGAGGAGTGGGGACGGCCCCGCCTGAGGGGCCAGCGACGGGGACCCCCAAGATCCCTGGGGGATCCAGGCTGCTCTGACCTGGCAGAGGCTTTGCATGGAGAGTCTAAGGCTCCGATGTGTACCCCAGGCATGCTGACAAAACACCTGCTCTGCACTCTTTCAAGTGCATGCCACGCTTTCGTGACTAGGCTACAGACCCACCTGAGTCACTAAATTCACCCTTTTCACCATCTATTCTTTCCGTCAAATACAGGTATTAAAAGTATTCTGAGTTTTTATCTCATTTGAAAAGATACGGGCGGCTCAGTCGATTAAGCATCTGCCTTCAGCTCAGGTCATGATCCTGGGGTCCCGGGATCGATCCCGCCTCTGCTCCCTCTGCTCCTACCCCCACCTGTCCGCTCTCGCTCTCTCTCTGACAAATAAATAAGATCTTAAAAATAAAAATAAAAAGATGTCTGCTATCAAAAGGAACCCCCGTGAAGTCAGGCACTACTGGCCTGGGGAGGGCTCCGCCTGGAGGACGTTCTCCAGGACGCTGCTCTGCGCCAAGGCAGGCTTTGGGGACACCCTGGGTCTGTGCTTTCTCCTCCCTTCACAGAGACAGCCCGATGCCTGGCACTGACCAGGCGAAGGCCGTCCCTTGGGATGGGGCTGTTGGGGGTCCTAGACGCAGATGCTTCAAGTGGTAGATAAGACGAGTCTGCTCTGGGGGAAGCAGCTCCCAGCTCACCTGAGGGGACACCTTGGACAGACAAGCGCTGCTAAGGACATCTAAGCAAAAGACCGCTGAGAGGCACGTGGGAGCGGGGACATCCTGATTTGCAAGAAATACACATACTCGTTCAGATGACCAAAACACATTTGTCACATACACTGGTCTTGGTCCACGGTTCCCAGCTCATGGCTCCCCAAAGCCTTGGAATCTCCTGAGCTACAACAGGACCATCTTTTGTTGTAATAATATTTGGCCTCCTGTCCTCAGTTCCTGAAGTCACTTCAGAGCCACCCAGGTGCCGTGGGGGTCTTGTTACTCGTAACGAGCCCCTTCCCACAACAACTGGGCTCATGTTAATGGGGTGATTTTAGAAAGCAGCTCAAAATGGGGGCTGGTGGTACAGGGAACTTTCAGTCCTCCTGATTTCCAGGCAGGGGAGAAGGGGGCTTCAAAGAATGCTTCCAAGTGCCACCATGCTGGGCCCCAAGCTCAAGTCCGCGAGGACAGAAGCTCACATATCCCTTCATAGAGCTGTCGATCTGTATCCTTTGGTATCTTCTGTCATACAGCAGCAATCTAATGAGTCCGTGGGTTTCCTGAGTTTCTGTGAGCCACTCCAGCAAAGTAATCGAACCCCAGGAGGATTCGCAGCTGGTTGGTGAGAAGCACAGGGGACACCCAGGACTTGCGACTGGCATCTGAAGAGGTCTGTGGGGGGAGGGTTGGGGGGCAGTCTTGTGGGACTGAGCCCTTCCCCTGTGGGATCTGATGCCATCTTCAGGTGGACAGTGTTGGAGGAATCTCAACTGTAGGACATCCCGTTAGTGCCTGGAGAACTGCTGTGGGTAGTAGGAGGGGGACCACCGTTCGCCAACGGTGGAATGGGGTGCAGAACCCAAGAGAGGATCACCCGCCAATTGTCAATGTGCACAAAAATTACCTAGAAAATGCTGTTACATTTAGATCCCAATTTGGGGGGGGGGGGCGGTGGTCAGGGTAGGGCCAAAGATCTCTGCATGTCCAGGACTGGGCTGCAGGCGGGGCAAGGCAGACGCCCTTGGGCTGTCAAGGAAGAAGACTGGCAGACACGGCTTGCCTGAGGGGTGGTTCGTGGCCAGCTGTGGGAAACAGAGCACAGCAAACCCCGCCCCCCGCCCCCGCAGCACAAGATGGGCCTGAGCTACCGCGAGGGGGTGCGCCCTGGGGAGGGGGAGGGGGAGGAGAAAGCAGCCGCGGCCACGCCTGCAGCCCTCTGGTCCTCCGGAGGCAGGAAGCCGGACGGAAGGGGCAGGCAGGTGTTCAAGCACAGACCACTCTAAGGGCATTTCTTTAAAAATGTGAAGCCCTACCCAGATGGAGGATTTATAACTGGCTCAACAAGGTCCCCCTAAAGAAAAAGTAGCCTAAGAAAGATGATTATCAGACTGATGCCTCCACCTGAGGAAGTCTCTGGTAGCCCTGCTGGAGGGCTCTGCATTTGGACTTGAGCTAACATGAAGCCACAGAGTCATCTCAGTTAATGTGCAAGGACCCAAACCAACAGGAATGGCTAATACCTGGACAAATGGAACCAAGAGTCAACAGAACTGTCAAGGGGGGAATGGATGCAAGTCAAACTGTGGGGACAAACGGAAAATTTCACCTTAGAGAAAACTAACCACGTGAGAAATGAGAAATCCTTGGCCCCCTGGAGGCTCACGTGAAAGACAGGGGGTGGGGGTGCCCGCCAAAGCAATCCTGGGCACGCTGGAGGAGAGCTTTTCCTCAGGACCGTTAACGGAGGCTGATGGAGAGGGAACGGGCGAGCCCCCTAGTTCTGCCCACGTAGGGCGGCAGGGGTCCTGTCATGCTGGGAGGTGACCTCTCAACTCTCCCAGCGTCGAGATCCTGTGATGAAAGCAGCTTCTTCATGAGGGGACCGAGTGTGAGGAGTCTGAAAAGCGCCCTGCTCGAGCCTACACGGAAGGATTCTGGTGAGCATCACTCAGCTCCGTCCGGGGAGCGCTGCTGTGTGGGGCCAGCACCCGGCCAGACGGCACGCTCCACCCCGTGCTTGCTGCTTACCAGCCGCCATGGGGCACCTGTGCAGAAGGCCCGCAAACCTGCTTAGATGCTTACGGTAGGCACATCCTCTTCTGGGTTCTCAGCTTTTATTTCAGCCTGGTCTCTCCTTTTTGGAGGCACTGGCTACTGTCCCGCAGCAGCCTGCTGCCCACCCTCTGGCTCTGCGTCACGCCACGTACTACCCGCCCCTACTTACAAGATAATGCCCGTCAGCTTTCTGCACAAAGCACCTCTGCACCAGCGCCCAGGGCCTGCTGCCTGCCCACAGCATCCCTCCCCCTCCTGCGAAAAGCAGCCAGATTTTACTACAGGGAACTGACCCCTTTTCCATCAATACCACCCCCGGCAGTCACATGATCCGCACTCCGGCCAGACTACTTCATGCCCCTCGGCTTCGGGAAGTGATTCTGCGGCGAACACAAGTAACCGAGGCCAGGGAGACATTTCTGGGGTTAGGGCAGACCAGAAGACTTAAGCCAGAGGCCGCCAGGAGCTCCGCTGTGGAGCTCCCCCCGTCCTAACGTCCTAGGCCCGGTCACACCACAGGAAGCCTGAACCTCTCGGTTACGTGATCTGCCTTGTTTTCATTTTTGCTTAATGACAGGGTCTTAACTTCTGTCACTAGCAACCAAGGGTCCTCATTTAAGTCACAACAGTGAGATTCATTCATTCTAAATGTTATCAGGAGTATGTCCTCACCGTCCCAGGAGCATTTTAAATGTAAATACCTTGACCCAAAGATAAAAGCTCTCAAGACCAAATCTCTGAATCTCTGGTGGGGAGATCCTGTCAGACACAGAGGCTGCCCCAGGACCTCTCTGGGGGTGGCAAAGGCGACCCTTACCTGTCTGGTCAGGCTGCCTCCAAGGTTCATGGTGCCAGAGCCAGATTTGTTGGTCTGCAGCCAGAGCATCACAGTGGACGTCAGCTTGTAATGGGCGGTGCGACCACTGGATTTCTCCTGCGGGATGAGACAGAGGTCAGAACCCCAGGTGTGACCCTGAGCTGGGATCATTCTCACATGTCCCTTCCTTGGATGTGGGGCCACGACACGACCTTATAAAACCCCGGCTGGTCTCTAAAGGGACCAAATCTGCAATCATGGGATCTTTATCATCGGTGACCACTGCAATCCTAACTCATCTTTATCTAACTGACTCTGGGGCATTTTTAGGAGTGACCGGGGGTGTATATATCACAGCATTCCCCCCCCCCCCTTCAAGAAACATCTGCCAGGGAGGTGTACCTGCACTTCCACCACGTGGATGGAATCCCAGCAGCCCTTGATCTTCTTTGATCCATCTCCAGCCTTCTTTATGAGGATCACTCCAGCAAAGCCATGATCCAGATCCCAGAGGTAGACAGATGAGACGCCACCTTCAAAATACCTGCCGGAAATAGGCCCACGTGCCCATGAGATGTTAAGCCGGTCAGATTACAGATCAACAGCCCAGGGATTCATTCGGCAAAGCTTCATCTGAATGTCTGTCTGGAATGAAGGACCCTCCCTCCCCTGTGATGGTTCCAGGGTTGACTCCTGCCCGTGTCCTGAGCACCTGCTGGTTGGGGGAGGGGTCCCAGAAAGATCATGGGCTCGGGAGTCCTAAAGATGCACTGGAGTTTGAGCTCTGCCACTGACTCTCGCTCTGTGGTCTTTGGCAAGCTTCCAGAGGAAGGACCTAGCAAAGTGTGTGACGTGGAATGGACGCTCAATGGGGCTCATTACTACTGAGTAGTCGTCACTGTTCCACACTCCTATCTTCCGGGATGGCTATTTCACAGGGGGATAAAGGGAAGAAAACCAGAGTAGCACACTCCACCCCGCCAAGAGCCCCCCGAGCCTGGGCCACCTGGGTTTCTGTTGGTCTTTTGGAGCAACTCTCTGCCACCCTCTAGCTGGAAACGAAGAGCTGAGCTTAGGGCAGAGCTCCCTACTCAGGTTTGAGTCGATATGGAAAAATTCCTAACTAGGAACAAATATAAGAAAAGGCCAGAGGAGAAAAGGAAATCAGGCCAGGGTCCCAAATCCAAGAGACCCAAGGCAACAGCGTGGCAGGGCCGGGCTGCCGGGGGCACAGGCAGGTCACCAGCTGCCGTGTGGGACCTCCAACTCTGCCGACGACCAACCGGAACGCTGGAAAACACGCATCTCTGCAGCCTAGCATGTTCTTTACCAGCGCGCTGCTGAAGCGCATTCTTCACCAGCAAGTCTGTGGCCTGACCCCAATTAACCTCGGCATCCACAGTGTGGCAGGCACACTCTGGGTCCCGCCGGGAGGGCCAGTGTCGTGTGCGAGCACGGGCTCAGATGCGGAGGAGCCGGGCTGGCTGTACACGTGTGGTGGTGAGCATGGGCTCGAGGGGTGCACGGGGCCCAACCCCCACACCTAGCCGTGGCTGCACGTTCCCCACCCACCAACTCTTTATTAAGTGCTACCAGATACTAACTGTCCGAACCGGGCCTTCGTTTCATCACAAAATAGGAAGATTCATACCTACTTTATAGGACTGTTGAGAGACAAAAAAACAGGAAAGTAAATAATCTGACCAAAGACTACTATTGATTTTAATAACAAAAATAAGTACTAAAAATAAACACATCTGTGAATTCTCAATAAAGCTGTTACATAATAAAAATATACATGGTTAACGCTAATATTTAGAGAATGTGGGTGAAGGGTACACAAGAATTCTTTTGTAAATTTGGAGGGGTCATTTTAACATAAGTTCAAAACCATTTCAAACTAAAAAGTTTTGGTACAAAGGTCAGTGGGTGATACACACCGGAGCATAACAATCTGAGCAAGAGGAAGCAGCCTTTCCTCATGAGAACGACAGCCTCCTGCCTTGGAGCTGCAGGGTGCCGTGGTGCTAACCCACCGCAGGCCCCCTGGGGGCCCAAAGGGTGCACACGAGGTCTGCTACCCTCCCCGCTACCCGCTGGGATTCCAGCCTGCCGCGGCTACCACATCCTGTCCCTGCCTCTCCGTCCCCGTAGGCTCCACGGGGATTAAGCTGTCCGATGTGATTCACACCACTGCCCACCCTCACACCCCCGGTCACCCTGGGAGGCAGGGGAGGGTGGGCGTGGCAGGGCTGATGCAGCAGATGCCTGGTGAGGGCCTGCTGGACAGATGCACTGAGGTGCCGGCCCCAGGAAAGCGCAACACAGAGCACACCCACAACTGGCCGGGGACGGAACAGAACTCAGTGCTATCCTAGGTGACCACCAAGAAATCTAAGTTCGCCAGGAGTCACACCACTACCACTGAGGGAAGAGCAGCCCAGCTAATCCCAGTCCTGCTGGGGACAGAGTGCTGGGTTCTAACACTCGGTTTCCCCTTCGGTCGGCTTGTAGGGAGAGCAGCACATCCAAAGGGAACAAACAGCTCTAAAAACTGTGGCTTTTCTTGGGCTGGCATGAAGAAAGGGCCAATAATCTCTTCTCTCCGTTGGCCGTCCAGGAGGAGTGAAGGCTTAATGCCCAGCGGTCATTCTCCCCCATCCCGCCTACAGCGTGTGGCCCGATCCCCATGACCAGAGCGTGGTAGTGGTCTCGTCCAAGGCCCCGCACCCTCTGTGTGCTAGGATGCCAGGGGAAGTGGGCCAGGCTGCCCCAGAAGGGAACCGGGAGAGAGCCCGCGGGCCCGACAGCCCTCGACGATACTACCTGGAGACCAGCTCCAAAGTGCCAGGCAGCCTACAGATGATCCCCTTGGTCCCATCCCTTAGATTTGTTTTCTTCCGGAAAATGAAACAACCGCATTCATGTTTGATAAGGTGGAACTGGCCGTTTCCACTCCAATGCCCCACCCGGTGGCCTGGCTCCCACTCCGGGCAGCTTCTCCCCGGCATCCTCAGCTTCCTTTGGGGGCCACAATGACCGGGTCTAACGTTCCAAGACGTTGGAGACCGAGGAGGGCAAAATGCAAACTTAATTCTGACCTCTACATGGGTTGCTCTTCTTTTCTCCAAAATTAAGAAATTCGTTGCAAGGACGTTATAAAATAGGGAGACTGAAAAATTAGCCTGCAATACCATATGTCAACTTATCCCATAAATCTGATTTTTCCAAATCCCCCTCCAGTCTTTGTCCAGATGCATAACTTTTCCGTAATGACAAGCACAGCCACGGTGCCGTGTTGAGTGCGGCCTCTGCGCTTGGCACAGAATCGTTAGCGCTTTTCCAGGGAGCCGCACGATCTCCGCAACTGTTTTTCATAGCTGGGGTGGTATTCCACTGGGCAGTATCCTAATTTACAGTTGCTCGGACTTGTAATAAGGGAATGGCAGCCGAGTTCCCTCTCCCGTCGTCGGGGTGTTCCTCATCAGGGTGAGGAGGACGTGCTGAAACCCGGGCTCCGCAGGCAGGGCCCCAACACCACAACAATTCAACAACGGACCTGCATTCCATTCACCAAAAGGCATCTCCAGGCACCGGGGTGGCAGCAAGTCTCAACCTGACGCTCCAAGACAAAGGAAGTAGAGGACTGCGCCATCAGAAAGGGCCAGTTCAGGATCTCCCAGAAAACCAGCCTCTCCGACAAGTGCCGTCAGGACCGTGGTGAGCAGGCTGGTGGTGGGGTGACTGCGGGGCACACAGACAGCCCCCCCGTTACATGGTTTATGGCTTTGCTCTGCGAGTGAAGCATTAATTAAAGAGGGACCTCAACAAGTTTTTGAAAATTTATTCTTACCTACTGTACTTTGATCATAATGACATGAAACAGGAAAAAAATAATTTTTATGTGGCTCACATTTATGAGTTTTTACATAAAGGCTTTTGTGGGTATTTTAAGAATGTGCTAAAATGTTGTCTGAAACCACATAAAGCCATCTGAGGAGTCGCCGGCCAGAACTAACAGCACACACATGGAAGCACTTTAACTGGCCTTTGTATATTTAATGAGTCAAATAGCATTAATATTGTTTAAATGCTAACATGCCATTTCAATAAGGCGGCTCTACCATCACCAGCGCCCCGCTCTTGGGCCTTGCACGTCAATGTGAATGATCAAATGGGGCCCGGGACTGAGAGTGGGCTACGGGGGAAGCGACTGGCCCTACCCGGGGCTCTGCCAGCGCTTGATCGTTTCAAAAACCCCAGGCATCCAGGGAGGGAGGGAGGACAGACCCAGCACCGACTGCCACAACACTGCTGTGTGAGGCAAGGCCCGGAGCTCCTGCAGTGAACTCTCTGGTCAAGTGGGCAGCTCAGAGAACTTTAAAACAGAGAGGCCCAAAGACAAGAGCACAGGCTTTTTTTAGGCCTGAAATCCAGCCAGTAAAGAGGGTGAATGATCTGTGAGCTGGACAACACAGGGACAGAACGCCAGGGAGACTGGAGAAGCCCCCTGGAAAGTCTTGACCCATGAGGCAGTGGGGCCTTGGGAAGCTCCAGAACACCAGCAGGGGGAGAACGGCAGACCGGAGTCAGAAACTGTGCTGGTCTCACTGAAGAGCAAACCCCTTCAGCCACACGCCACACGCCACAGGGTTCCACACACAGTCTTGGGGGCTTCCAGGACTTTCCCAGTAAGGGTGAACATTGTCTTTCTTTCCGGGTTTTTAAATTTTATTTGTTTAAATATTTTTTAAAGTAAACTCTACGCCCAGCGTGGGGCCCGAACTCACAACCCTGAGATCAAGCACAGTGGGCTCCACTGACAGGAGTCAGCGAGGCGCTGAGGGTGACCGTTTCCTACAGCAAATGGAATGGCCGAGAAGTCAGAAGCTGGCCCTAAACACATGGGGCTGCTGTGCTCTGGCTCCCTAAGTCAGGCCGTCTGAAAACTAGTACTTGATTACAACAGGCGGTACGGGTCTCGTAAACTCCAGAAGGCCGGGGCCCCACAGGACACCTCTGTCCTGGATGAGCCAGGAGCACGTTCATGACCAGCAGCTGGGCTACTCTGTACCAGCCAATTACAACGAAGCATCCGGTCAAGTTTACGCTCTATCATCCGATCCCTGAACGTGGACCAACTAAAAGGCCAACATGCCAGTTAGTTCTCCTGTCCTCAAGAGTTCAGCATTGTTTCTCCTGGAAAAGGACTCCTGCTCTTGAATCATGTCACAGTCACGGATACGGATTCTGTGTCCGTAACTCTTCAACCGCAGGACCTCTGAGGGCGGGGGGGGGGGGGAGAAGGAAAACATAACACTTCACACTCAAAATGACCTACTTCACCAAAGAAAGAAGGAAAGAAACTATCTCAGCTCCTGAAGCCTTATGGAGTGCGCTCCGGGCTGTGCATGGAGACCTAGCATGGAAACTTGTTCCGGGAATGTGAGCTGTGAGTGTGCATTATCCAATCCCCAGTCTCGGCCAACACCGGGCTGCATGCGTCACAGGGAAGATGGGACTGGAACGGACTGTGATGTCGTC